ATCAGTGATACGCGCATCACAGCTTGTGCGTACATCAGTGATACGCGCATCACATTTTGTGCATGCATCAGTGATACGCTCATCACATTTTGTGCATGCATCAATGATACGCGCATCACAGTTAGTGAGCGTGATACGCGCATTACAGATGGTGAGTGTATCAGTGGTACGTGCATCACAGATGGTGAGTGTATCAGTGATACGCGCATCACAGTTTGTGCGTGCATCAGTGATACGTACGCGCATCGCAGATGGTGAGTGTATCAGTGATACATGCATCAGGGATCTTGCGCGTATCCCTGAGGTACGCAGACGCCAAGCCTCGGCGTGCGCAGGTCATTACGCTGAGGCTGGGATAAAATGAGTCGCTGTGTAAATGAGAGCGGCCCTCGATTAGTTTCGTGTTTGAAATAAGAGTGAGTGTGGCCCTCACAGACGACCCTTGGAAGTATATCGCCCTCGGCCTGTAATCTTGGCGGCCATGTTGACAAAATGTCAGCAGGGTTAATGTAGCGGGATTAGCTAGCGGGAATGACGATTACTAAGACGGGATTTTCGACGTACTGATACATTATTATTATTATTGCCCATAAACATCAAGTGTATTTCTTAGGACAACAGATGACGACTTCGCAATATTAGTGATCGCTGTCTGTGTTGTTTGATGAGGAGCGTAGGCTAAAGGATGGCTGGTTGTTGTCTCGAGCGTGATTACAGTTTCTTTTATTGCTCTATCATGACATTCACGAGTAAATGTCCCTGCTTTAGTTATTTATCGGTTTAACCCTTTCGTCTCTGATATATTTACCGTCGTCAATGCTATTCGAACTTAGTGGTTTGGGACCGAGAAATCCCGTCAGGTATTAAAGGGTTAAGTTTTATTAGAAGTTTCATAATAAAGTTCCAAATTTAAAACTTTGCAATCTCATCGTCTTTGCAATAAACGATTCTAGCACGCAAATATTTATATGTCCGATGATTGGAATGAATTTTTAGGCAATTGGCGTAACTGGTAATCATTTATCAGACTGTAAGATTTTCTCGCGTACATGAAGTAATGCTTTCGTAAATTTTGTTTCGATTTAGGCATATTCTCAATTCCGTGATTCCTTATTGACAATTGTTACTCCCATAATTTCCTTTAACGTTGACTCAGAGAGCAAGGTAGGAATTTTTTATGTAACAGATAAAATTAAACCAAAAAACAGTAAGCATATTCACAGTAAATTATCCCAGAATTAAAATTATGCGAAACTGAATTGAAGCGTTGAAAAGAAGCTAATTTGGCAGACTTCGCTGAGCACTTCAATATCAAACGGTGGCCGTTGGCGAGCAAAGTACTTCACTGCTGTGTCAATCAAGTTCATTAAGACGTTTCTCCAGGCTGTGCCAATTAACATCTAATTAGAATTTAGAAACTCAAAGCAATGGACGCGAGAAAGAAGGCAGTCGGAGCGTGTAATGGCGGCTGTGCCTTGCGAGGCGACTACGTTAAGTTCGCCGGCTTCAAAGCCGAGGTAATTTTTGATCGAAAATGGTTTGGAATTGTTCCGAGTTGAAATAGTTCATCCATAGATCTTCTAACTAATTTCATGGTGTATTTACAAATTATTTCATTGCTATTTCAATTAAATTTGCTGTACTTGTATCTGCAGTTGGGATGCTATTTTTCCTCAAATCTGATGCTAAATTCTTTTACTCAAATTAAAACCAAAAATGATATAAGTCGATTAACAGAATGTCTCGTTATCCACATACCATATCTTGGTCAGGAATTCCTCAGTTTGATGTTTGTAATATTTCGTGTGTTAGTAATTATTGCTATTAGCTATCAATATCCAAGGCCGAGTTGAACACAGCGTTTCATTGTATTAGGCCATGCGCTTTCGCTGGCGATATCGGCATCCGCTTCAACGATAGGAAATCCGTTCGAGATACGGGCATGGTAAAACCGGGACACTCTGCGGCCTTCGTGACTGGGCATTTTTCCTTAAAATCAGGCCAGTAATAAAACAAATACAATGGGACATCATATTATTACATCATCATATATTCAATAGTGGGTTATGTTGCAAGGGATAGATGACAAATTGAGCAACAAGACATGACTAAAAGCATTACTAACAGCAAGTAAATAACTAACAACTAAATCGAAATTTCTTATCAGATAGGTCTACTCTTTAAATTAACCGTAAATGTATTTAACGACTAATGCACGCGTCTATACTGACGCGACTAAGTAACAATGCAATGTCTTACTTGAATGAAACATGAAGAACATTAAGAGAAGGCTAACTGATGTTAATGAATTAAGCTGGTGAACACAACTCAACCCTTCTAAGGCATGGAACAATTTTCTTCTCCAGAAAACAAATATGGTTTCTTAATCAGAAGCTTGAAGTTATATGAAGAGTAATTGTTAGTTTAGAGCAATAGCTTGCACGCTTCAACAGTCTTTCCTTCTTTCATTATTTCGACCAAATACCTGAAGAAAATGAACACATGCAGATCTGTCTTGGTCGGTGTTTTTATTAATTTAAGTGTGAAATCACTATAATAATTTGATAAAACTCTAATTGTAATTTGTTTCTATAAAATGAATAGAAATGGATCATTTTTTAATATGACTCCTTATTCATTATTCATAGGGGAAAATCATGCACTTACAAATTAAGATCCAGCTGATTGCTCAATCTTAGATCTTTTTTAGACGTAGGATACTTGATCTTAGTAAGGGATGATCGGCATGCAGAAGGCCTATCGTGACGCCACATTTTTTTTTCATCATGCATCATGCCAATGTGCTACTATACCATTAGAAATCGTGCGGCCATTTCCTGGGTTTTCAGTGCTGCTCCTATTGAATATGCTAGGGTTGAGAAGGGTGCAGTAATTTTCAAGAACTTCACTTGCATCAAATAAATAGAATCAATCAGAAATGAGACAGCAATTGACGACCAACTAAGCTCAGGATAAAAATGCCCTGCAGGAACCCAGTGGTTGGTTGGTTATGAACGATGCTGACGGCTGATGAATACATGACTTCGTCGGGAAGAGTGACCACCACAATCTCGGTACTTGGGTAAGATGCCATATCCCTTTTTGGACATGAATCTGTAAATGTGGTCACTGAAATTGAGTTATAATTACAGGTTGCACTTGCTTTAAGGTTCCTTTCTATTTCCTGCTGGCGGGGCGTCTCCGAATTACTCATCAACCACGCGAAGTTAGGGCATTCGCACACAAATTTGTTGTCAGCCACTGAATACACCTCAATGGACGGATGAATGACGAAGCCTTTGGCAGCAACAAATTCGAAAGTATTATTAGTCAGAACTAAATAACTTGGACGGTTTGCCTGTTGCTTCTTCTGAATGGAGGCCACGGCTCCTAATTGAATACTTTTAAAATAGTTTCCGACCAACATCACAGCGCTGATCTCACACTGATTGTCCATTGTAAGCTGGAATGCGCCGGTTCCAAAAGTTGAAACGCGATTTCCATAGAATATAACAAATGAAAACCAATCTGAGGAGATGGCTTTTGGATGCAAAGCAGTTATGTTGCAGAAATAAAAATGCAAACGAGCTCCAATTTCGGGCAGAGGTAGATTATCTACGGACTCCAAGCTGCGCGCCATGACATCACTCATCCTATCTGAGGGAGGGATCCGGATATCAATTTTAGGACAGTCATTGTTGGCTGGCAGCTGGGGAGTCCTGATGATTTTAACAGCTCCATCTGCGAGACTGGATATGCTTGTTCGAACAAATGCCATTTCAAAAAGTGCGGGCAAGTCACTGATTGCACTGGTATGTATATTTACGATATCACTGTCGGCAAATTCAACCGTACGCAAATTTGGCAGGCCAGAAATAGAGTAGGATGACACATTCCCAATGTAGTTATTTATGAACCGAAGTTCTGTCAAACGGCTGAGACCTTCGAAAGATTTGGGCGGAATTGAATCAAATAGACATCGCTCAAACGTGATGCGGGATATGGACGTGTTCCAGGACTGGTTAGGTGGGTTAGTCAGGATGATCTGGGCGCCGATGAAGGTGACAGTGCGGGGCCCGATGCCATGCTCCAGCAGGTTCCAGGATATATCCAGCGCCGACACTACTTCGCAGCCGCTCCTGTCGATGGTCAGCGCATCGACGTTTTGTACTCTCTGCGTAAGAAATAAGAATATAAAAATCTAAATCTTGAACCGATTCAACTTTCAAATAAAATGAAGCCCAGCAGAGCATTTTCGTTTGTCCTACGGTTTTCCAAATCGCCAAAGATTAGTAGACCAAACACTTGTAATACTTTTTTTCGTTAATAAATGTAACTTTAATGCAAGCCTCTGATGATAAATGTCATTCGACTGAGTCTACAACGGCAGCCTGTTGTCTATAAAATTTGGCAATAACTGAAATAAATGGAAGGATAAGTTAGGACACTTTTTCTGCATATTATCATTTATAAGGATATAAAAGGTAAACTATTATAGAGTGGTAAAAAGTAGGTATAGATTCTCCTAAATTGTGAAATAATACCTGCTGTAAGGACTGCATGCAGGTGCACATGATGTCCATGGAGCCGGGATTTCTGCGAGACGGAGTGGCGGAGCAGTTCTCATTTCCTTGACACAATATTTCTGAAGTCAGTGAAGCAAAGAACAGTGCGCGAAAAATATAATTTCCCAATCTCTTCATATTGATCGATTTCTTGATTATTTTTCAAACTGACACAGTTTTCCTCTAACGGGAATCAAGCAATAACGATAAAAAATCAATGACGGATTTATGGAACAAACGACTTATTGCATCTGAGGCTTTCACATGTATCGCTAAATTATGATTGCTTTTAGTTCATTCAAGTCTTGCAGCCACTGCACATTAATATGAAGTTGAATGCAACAAGAACAATTATACTTCTAGCTTTTCTTGCTTGCGCTTGAATGGTGTACCTCACGCCGTAGGGTGCCGCACACTGACTACACTAGACCAAGCGCGCGCACTGAACGTATCGCTGCACTGGACTTTCTGAGCAAACATTGCACACTATTTCACCTTCGAATCACTAAAGAAGCAAATTTATTTGTTTCCGATCCGGAAAGAGCGAATATTTATATTAATATAGGTCAATTTGATATAACTTCTGATTGCACATGCATCATTTCCTATTGAGAGGTGACAGCAGCGCTGCCGACACTAATTATATATAACGACACTAGTTATATATAGTGCATAAACGACACCAGTATATCTTTTCCGGTAGGGAACCCCGGCGTGCAACGACGGTAATCCGGTTGAATAACTGATTGAGTTACTTACGACTTTTTTCATTATAAATCGCAAATTTAAATGCACGTGAGTAGCGTTACGATCTACTTTTTTTAACACTATTTGTAAGACATATGGTGTCATTGTGGCCAAATCTGGACTGTCACCGACTCTGTAGATGGCAGAAATATTACAGCTGGCTGGGCTTTGGCCCTGCGACTCACTGCTGAAATCTCGCTGTTCTTTATCACCCGCTTCCTCGCCGATTTGACCGGAACTCATGCCATTCTGAACTTGATTTCAATCTGACCATTCTGAACTTGAGCAACTCGGCCACCTGCCGAAGTATTGATAGTATAATTATATATGTGAATGCAGTCCGTCTATGATAATGATTTGTATATCCTATGTGTAATATTTTAACTAGGGTATTTGTCATGCCTTCTCATATATTGCATAAGTGTCATGCCGCGTTGATCGTTGTGGAGAATATGCGTTTTAATCCTGTTAAATTTTTGCTATCAAATAACCTGCTATCGTCTACTTTCGTCTGAATATAAATGAACCGTTTTAATACTTGACTAGACCATGCAGAAATTTCATCGAACTGTTTTGTAAATTTTTTTTAGACTTTCTGAATTAAAATTTAAGCGCATGAAAAAAGGATTGTTCGTGGCTACAATGCGTTACGTGAAATTTGTATCAATAAATTTTATTACATAACATAACAATGATATAACATAGTGATGACAGCGCTGAAGTGTAGGCTTGATGGGGCCTATCGCCGATTCTTTTACTTTCTGTGCCTTGTTCACATAATATCTAAAATCGTTTCTTTTGACCGGATCTTTTTATGACTGACGATAGTTTGAAATAGCTACTAGACTTCCACCGGGTTCGATATGGTGCTAGGCATTTCAAGTCTGAACATATATTTTTCATAGCTTTATCTAGTCTGTTCTTGAACGCGTTCATACTTGGAGCGCCAACGATGTCATCGGGGAGGCTGTTCCATATGTCGGTGATTCGAAGCGAGAAGAAATCTTGTAGCGTGAAGTTGCAGCGCAGTTTTTTTTAGTTTATAGCCGTGGCCCCTGGTGTTGGTTCTTGTTTCAAATTCTAGTAATCCTTCGGGAACCTTGTATAAAACATGAGTATACTTATATACTTCAATGAGGTCCCCACGCAGACATCGATATCTGAGGCTTGGAAGCTTCATAATCTTTAATATTTCTTCATAGGACTTGTCCTTCAAGCCTGGAATTATCCTTGTTGCACGTCTTTGAACATTCTCTATTAAATTTTTGTCCTTTTCAAATCTCGGTGACCACACAACGTTTCCAAACTCTAGATTCGGGCGCACGACAGCAACTAACAACTGCTTCATCGCTTCTGCATCTAGGAACTCGTATGAGCGTCTGGGGTTTGTTAGGTGTGAGGCTTGGAAGGTTTTACGGCAAAGTACATTGAGAGGTTTGGATTGATAGTCTGATAGAATAATTCAGTTTTTAATGCTGACATTTTTAATTCTGTGGAAATCTATTTTAGTCACTGGGTGAAATTTAGGACGCTTGATACTGTGCCAGAAATTGTTTGAGAAGAACTTGTTCTTTCTCATGCAATAGAGATGGCAACAAAATCATTTCATTCGTGATGTCTCCAAAAAAATTTCCGTATTTAGTTACCATATACTATTTAGTATACTCATCTTTTTCAATGACGTCTTCAACAATTGCTATAAGTAAATTTGTATCAGTTCAATTGTTTATTTGGTGACGTTGCTGAGTCCAATTCAAGAGAGGAGTCCTGTCATTCGAACAGATAGTTGAAGCTACATTATTCATATCATAACATACTAGTGATGTCTGCGCTGATGAATAGGCCTGATGTACCCTGTCGCCGAATCTTGCACTTTTCGTGACGTGTTCACAGGAGATCTGAATACAGGTCCTTTGAGCGGATCTTCGAAATTGACGATATTTTTAAACAGCCATTAAACTCCCAACCAGGCCTGCCTTCAGGAACGTAGCCTTCAACACTTCAAGCCGTCCGTATCTAGGCCGTGGGTCGAACCAGCCCTCGGTCGAACGGCCACTTCTCGAAGGACGATAAATTTTGGAACAGAACTATGCTATCTGAAACATAACCTCAGATGCGGTGAACGTAAAATTAACGATGCCCGGAAGTCAGATTCCATCCGTGGCCTGGTGGTGCACGGCAGGTGTTGGTCAAGGCCGGAAGAGGACAAAGCCGAGTGGTGCACGGCTGATTGGTGTAGGTCCGGAGAAATCCAAGGCTTTCGATTTAGGGCTTATAGGTGCACAAAATTGGTGGTGCGCGGCTGCGCTCCCGGACCCGCCTGCAAACTCGCATGCGGACTCAAACGCAAACTACATGCTCAATTTAACCGGTCATAGATCCTTCTATACTGAACGGATTTGCTTGAGTTTTGGAGTATAAGTAGATATTATTGACGCGCTGCTATAGGGAATGTTACAAATTTTCTCATTACTTCGTTTTTGATCAAAACGAATAAACGCAATTTTCAGCAACCAAACTAGTCGTAAGTCCTTCAATACTGAACGGATCGGCTCGAAGTTTTATCAATACTCTTAGTTTTTAGTAGTTTTTTTATCAACACTCTTCGATGGAAATAATTACATATTAAATAATAAATTACATCATGTTCAATTAAAACGAAAAAAAAAAATTTTCCAGGCCACCGAACCACCGAAGTGTTGATTCAGTGAGTTATGAGTTGGTGCTAGGTATTTAAAGTCTGAACATATTTTTCCATGATAGCCTATTCTTGAACGCGTTCATACTCGAAGCGTCAACGATGTAATCAGGGAGGCTATTCCACATGTCGGTGACTCGAAGCGTCAAGAAGTGCTTTCGCGTGAATGAGTTGCATAGCAGTTTTTTTATTTTATAGCCGTGGCCCCTGGTGTTTGTTCTTGTATCAAATTCTAGTAATCCTTCTGGGACCTTGTATAAACTATGGTATAAATTATTAGTATACTTATCTACTTCATATCATAACGTAACATAGTGATCTCGGCGCTGGATTGTAGGCCTGATGTGGCCTGTCGCCGATTCTTTTCCTTGTGGCCTGTCACCGATTCTTTCGTGCCTTGTTCACAGAAAATCTAAAATCGTGTCATTTGACCGGATCTTTTAATGACTGAAGATAGTTTGAAATAGCTACTCGATCGATTTCCACCGGGTTCGATATGGTGGTAGGCATTTCAAATCTGAACATATATTTTTCCATAGCTTTATCTAGTCTGTTCTTGAACGCGTTCATACTTTGAGCGCCAACGATGTCATTGGGGAGGCTGTTCCACATGTCGGTGATTCAAAGGGAGAAGAAATATTGTCGCGTAGAGAAGTTGCAGCCCAGTTTTTTAGTTTATAGCCGTGGCCCCTGGTGTTGGTTCTTGTTTCAAATTCTAGTAGTCCTTCGAGGACCTTGCATAAACCATGAGTATACTTGTATACTTCAAATGAGGTCCCCACGCAGACGTCGATAACTGAGGCTTGGAAGCTTCATAATCTTTAATCTTTCTTCATTGGACTTGCCCTTCAAGCCTGGAATTATCCTTGTTGCACGTCTTTGAACATTCTCTATTAAATTTTTGTCCTTTTCGAATCACGGTGACCAGACAACGTTTCCAAACTCCAGATTCGGGCGCACGACAGCAACAAACAACTGCTTCATCGCTTCTGCATCGAGGAACTCGTATGAGCGTCTGATTAGTCAAAGAAGTTTGTTGAATGTGTTAACTTGCGTTTCAACATGCTTAGAAAATTTCAGCTCCTTGCCGACATAAACTCCGAGATCTTTTTCCACACTGGACTTTTCAATCATTGCAACCATGTCTTCTCATACTGTAATCTTGCTGTTCATTGTTCTTCCCGAAGTGAAGTACTTTACACTTGTCAGCATTAAACCGCAGCTGCCACGTATCAGCCCAGTTAACTAAACTGTCAAGATCTTCGAGCAATTGCGCCTTATTTGACGCATTCTTCACTGAATTATAAACTTTTGTGTCGTCGGCATAGGGTGGATAGCTAGAGGTCACAGTGCGATTCATACAGTATACCTTCCCGAGCGTAACGCAGCCGGACATCTTCACGGCTTTCGACACATAGCGCCCACCACAACAGCGCCGTTCAGTCACAGACTCACAGGCACTGGTTCACAGCGCCGGAGCACAACTGGCCGGAGCGCAAAAGGCCCTACCGCAACAGCTACTCCTAACGTAACGTAACCTAACCTAACCTAAACTAACCTGCGCCGCCTGCTGCGGTAGGGCCTGTTGCGCTTCGGCCAGTTGTGCTCCGGCGCTGTGAAGCGTGGCTGTTCTGTGCAAAGCGGATTTACTGTTAGCCGGAGTTACCCACAGCTCATTGATCTGGGGCTATTTATATACATATATTGCATGCTGATGGTTGGCGTTGGGCCCAGGGCCTGTTTACGAGTCAATTTTGTTACCCACGGCTGTGCTTCCATCTGAGGCTATGTGTAGATATTACATGCTGATGGTTGGCGTTGAGCCCAGGGCCTGTTTAAGAGTCAATTTTGTCACCCACGGCTACGCTCTCGTGGCACGCCGCTGCGCACTGATGCCCAGTCTGACACAGTTCCGTTAATACTGACACGTTGTCGTCTACATACTAGAAAATTTCTGATCCATTGTAGTACGNATTTATTTACCACTTGAAATCGGCAAATACAACTTACAAGTATACTTAAAGGATTCCTAATACTGTCTCTTATACACATCTAGATGTGTATAAGAGACAGGGTTACTTCCTACATTATTTACAGGCCTTGATCTACGGACATCATTCCTACTAATTACTTGTCCTCCATCTCCTCTGACTGTCCGTAAGCAGCCGGTGTTGTCTTGACAGCTTGGAAATGATTGACCTGATTTTCCGCGCCTTTCCGCCTGATTCTTTCCTGCCACTTCTTACGAAAAACCGCCCTCTTTAACGGGGTGGAATCTTTCTTTACAAAAACTGACTTGTAATCAGCGGATTCTCCAAGCTTTCTCGCTGTTTTCAGCACGCTCCAGACCTGAGCAGAATCATTTACAGTCACCAGCAAAGGTCTGCATGTGTTGGCAGCATCCTTCGAGCGTAGCCTGTTGCAGGCTGTAACATCAATTGGTGCGTTGAGTACCTTGATACGACAGTCTACAACAAATGCGGTGTCCTCCATCACTCGGTCCTTCGCATCAGATGCGGTGCTTTCGGGAATCTCAAACCAAACCAGGTTGGCCTTCCTACGTTCTCTATCAAGTAATTCACGTGAGCTTTCGCTAGTGACTTCAGATAAATCAGCTGTCTTGTTCTTTACTTCCATTTCTACTACTTACGTTACTTCTTTACTTCTACTACTTTATTTATTACTTTACTTCCACTTCTTATTTATTACTTTACTTCTACTACTTCCATTTCAATGAGGTCTTCAACAATTTTCAGTTATAATATAAGATTAGTGTATATCAATGAAAATGAACACAATTTAAATTTTTGAACGACTATAGTTTCTTTATAATTTTTTTTTGTGTCATGTGATGTATGATTGTCACCTCACGTAGTCCTCAGAATTAACAAAAATTGAGAGGACCACGTACAACTCTCGTCACATTTACTTTTATCGTAGAGACTGTTAGTAAACATGATGCCAGAATAACAGTACATCCTTAACTATGTAATAAATTTATCTATTGATTTGAAATCGAATTTTCTGTAAGTTTTGTAAAAGAATCCCATTTATTTTGATTTAGATTACCTTCTGTTATTCCTCAATTTTTGCGAACTACCAAATGAAATGAGCCTTCTCGCTGCGGGCTCAGCGGCTGCATCTTGCGACTTGCGACTTGCGAGCACAGTTGTTTAGATGCTTTATTAAGTCCTAACTTTTTGTTGAGAACATGTTTTTTTTGTTAATGTATGCAGTTCATCATCATGTGTGACGTGTCCAAGTGGATAAAAAAATGCCTTTAATAATTTTTAGCTGTGCTAGGTATAATGGTCGACAATCGATGAATCGACATGCATATGAGTAGGTATGACTAAATGTAAAGTGTAAACACTGGCAGCTGGCTGACTGGCTAGGACACTGGCAGTGGCAACTTCACTGGCAAGGAAAATAACTCCAAGTCTCCAGACTAGGCTACCTACCTAACTGTCCAGTCAGTCACTCCAGTGCATAGTGGCAAAGCAGAGAGTTTTTTAGACTCTCCCTCAAGTTCATTTTTGAGTGATTGAGTCCTATTAGTAGACCAGTAGGTATTATTGCAGATTAACTACATCCAAAAAAAAAGGGTGTTTTTTTTNTTTGGTAACTGGTAGAGCAAGGTCAACTATCAACTTTGACACATTTTTGGATGTTCTCACTGGGTGACTGTGACGCACACTGTCTCTCTTTGGATCTCAACATTTTCCTACCAGACAGCCCACTGCCCAGACCTAGTGTTTTTGGCAATAGTATGGCACGTAATAGTATGACATCACTATTTCAACCATCAACGAATGTGTGGAACTAAGAAAAAGCTCAATATAAAGGAAAAAAATCAAGACGTGTTGGAATTACCCACGATGTCGGAATATACCGTGTTTACCCTAGCTCCCAAATCATAAAATGACCTATTTTTGACAGATTGGAATCTTGCAGCCCTCTTGTTTAACTTTTAAGTGTGAATGCAATGACTTTTTTATACAAGTTAATCCTAACTGTCCTGGTCTGTCCAGGCCCCAGGGTGCAGAGGGTGCAAGCAGCATTGCCAATTATTGGCAACGCTGGTCGCTGAATAGGGTAAATGTGGTATATTCCAACACATTAAGGACATACCTAGCAAGAAATGAATGGCTATAAAAATATCACTGTATGTGCAACTCAAGTTTTGATTGCTTTACATCACTCTCAAAACACCACACTACATGCCAGCATTGATGAAACGTCACAAACTGTTGCCATATTTATTAAAAAGCCTTTATAATTCAAACCTACAAAATTCCTGAATTCGGATGCTGTGCGTGACTAAATTTGGCATATTGTGATACTAATTCCGGCAGCGCTTCAAACTCTATTAATTTGTAATTTCGGCACCCTGTGTTGGAATTCTGACGCCCTGTGTGAGCTGTATTGGAATACATCACAGCTCGGAACAAGCTTAATTAAAAAATTTTAATTTTCTAATTAAGCTTTTGATAAAGAGCTATTAAGCGATTAATCATGGGGATGCATCTGCCTACATGGGGATGATGTCTCGCAATCTCTATTTTAGGATTGCAGAACATAGAGGGAGGAGTTGTAGAACTGGTCACCAAGTATTGCGCCCCCCTTATTTTGCTGTGCAAACTTGCGCCCAAGCAGTGCAATGTTCCAATTTCTGATAGTGACTTGAAAGTTTTATCTTCCACTGCCAGTGTTTGTGATTTGCACATTTTTTATCATTGTACATTTTTAAACAGTTTCAATTGAAAAAAAAGCTGCCTAGTTTCAATTCAGCTGCCTAGTTGAAAAGCTGCCTAGTTTCAATTCAGCTTTTAGCTCTTACCCAATTGAAACTGTAAATAGATAGCTTTTACCATTTAGGTTTTTTTTTTAACCTTGACTGTACTAATTACTGATATATTTGTGTTCAAGCGTTTCAAACTGACGATAGAGCTGGACTCTGAAATGTTTTCTATAAAGATAGTAGTATGAATTTTTGTGGAATTTTCTTTGATTTTAAGTTTCTAGTTTCTTCAAGCCAATCCAAAAATGATTCATATCTTAGCAATTGGTAGCAGCTTGCATCATTTCTACTGCACCAAATGAGTAACGTAATTACTTTTATCTGTTTTGTGTATAAAAATTTATGCCTAATAACAACCGTAATTAAAGTTATCTCAACATCATGTGTGCTTGGGCAGGTCATTCATTAAAATCTAACTTGTACACCTTCTGTTGGAAGAATCTTCCTGCCTGGAATTTGCTTGTGTTGCTGAAATTTAGTGCCTGCTAATTTGTGTAGCATTAATATCTTCCTAATCTCTATTCTGTTTTGTGCAGAATGGCACCCAGCACATCATACCTGTCTGGGCCATGCTCATTGTGCTTAAGAGTAGCTAAATGGTTGCCCGTCATCTTTATTGTGGCCATTGTGGTGTGGTCCTATTATGCATATGTCATTCAGCTCAACATACGTAAGTTATTAAAGTTTTAACTTTTTTCTAGTCTTACAATTATTCAAGTTGACAGAAACACTTCTAGACTGTAACTCTTCAGTTCTTGATATGATTGCAATTATAAAATATTTGCTGAGAAATTATAATCTTTTCATCTGTGAAACTTGAAAGTACTACATATTTATGTATGTATATGCTCTTGATTTTGCGAAATTATAATAATAAAAAAGTTTTTAGTGATGAATTCATTGGTGCTGCAATATTATTGAATGGTTCTTATCATCAAGATCACTTTTCTCTTTCCAGTTACTATAGAGAGCATTGTGAAAAAAAGTGAGTACTAACTAGTTTAATTTGTTAACCCTATTGTGTGTAATATACTAATATTCCATTACAAATATGTCATGTATATGATATACCTATCTATCTGTATTTATCAAATTTGTCATAACCACTTGTATGTTGAAATCCATACATGAATGCAGTACTGCACTTGTGTAGTATCATTATTTACCTACTACATATACCCTGTTATATATATATTTACCTACTACCTTACCCTGTATTTGGTAAGCTCTTGAGCCCCATGCTGTGAGTGTTGTTGGTGTTTGTGCAGCTCTCTATCTTCTGGTCTACCACGTCCTGCTTATCCTCTTTGCCTGGTCTTACTGGCAAACAATCTTCACAGAGATTGGCTATGTTCCTAAACAGGTGAGTTTTTTAGGGTTGTTCCCAGTTAGACTCTTAAATAATTCATTCAATTATAATTTTAAATCTCTTGAAGCATTATAAAAATTATAATAATTTCTAATCAAATATTATCTAATATAATTATCTAGAGTGAATATTAGAATTATCTAGAATGAATTTTCAGACCTTTTCTACAGTTTGATCTGTCATAGCCTCTGTTGAAATAATCATGAGTCTACTAGGTACTAGTTTAGGTACTTCTTCTTTTCTCATACAAGTAAAGTAATGCCTCATGTTGGCTAGTCTCTGTTTGCTAAGGAGCCTGTTTTTAATCTGCAAGCTCATGTTCATTGTAAGAAATTTTGATCAAGATTACAAGCGGCCGAGATGACAAATGACATTTCATTTGCTTTTTGTCTTTATTAAGGGGAGCGTCTACCCTAAAATTTTGGATTTGGCTGTTCCGGTTTTCAGTCTCATCTTAAAGCTGACACTCTAACCCATCCAACGGTACCAAAACCATCTCTGTGCGTTGATTTATGCGTTCACGACAGATCCCGAAAGGGAGGGGGGTGAGGGAGTTCTTTCACATTTAACATGGTGAATAATTCCCGTATTGCACTATAAATAGCTAGTCTACAGACACTCAGCTCCAGCAACCTTGCGGCAGTCGTACGGGGTGGTTCTTGCACCGTCGCTCTCACCATCATTGACAGAAATTGAGCTCCAGTATCGTCTAGTCGCATTCCTTGCCGTCTTGAATGCCGATTTCGAGGCGCCCGGGACTTTTTCGCGCTCTACTGAACATTCACACTTATTGTCACTGGAAACCTATCTCCTCCTACATTTTTGAAGCTACAACAATGAAACATATACCTTTCGATTCGCAAAAGAAAGATCTAAAAAGTGGTCTTTGTCGTTTTTAATTTCGTCATAGTGTGGATTTTATTCTGCAAAAAGGGGGGTGATGGGGGGGGCAAAATCGAAAAATTTTCGAAAAATGTACAAAAAATGCCCCCACACCCACAAAAATGAAAAATTGCAAAAACCACAAAGACCAGTTTTTTGATATGGTCTTTACGCATCGAATGATATGTGTTTCGATGTTGTAGCGTGAAAATCCTAGGAGGAGATAGATTTCTACAGTACCCCCATTTTTGGCAGTTTTCTAAGAATGTCACGTTTTCTTTCATTTTTTTCGAAAAATTCACACGAACAAAAAAGTCTTAGAATTCTGTTTTACATATACGTACCAAGTTTCAAAGTGATCTGTCTGTAAATAACCAAGATAAAATTTGGGGTAGGCGCTCCCCTTAATAGGTATGTGTTTTAATGTACAGAGGTAGAAGATTTTAAATTTGCTTTTCAAATTTTTCCATTATCAAGAGTACTACTGCAGGTGAAATAATGCTGTACATCCATGCAATTGACAATGTCCATTACTAAAGGAATGAATGAATTCATTCTTCCAAGAATTAAATATAATTGGCCTGCCCTCTCAGTGTTTGGAATAACAGTGATACAATTTTGCAGTTCCGCCTGCCACCAGCAGAGCTGGAGGCGTATGAATGTGCCCCTACAGAAGGGGACAGACGCGAGGTCCTGGAGCGGTTTGCTGCCAAGCACGGCTTGCCAGTCTCCAACAGAACCATGACGGGAGGTAACTGCTCCTTTCTCCTCTCTTCCTTGGTATCCTTGATGGGTGTTGTAGACGTACGTAGCAGTCCCAGGACAAGCGGGAGCGCCGCGCTCATATTTCCTTCCTTAATTTTCATTCAGCATTTTTCGAGCAATTTAAAATTGACCGGAAATGTTTGTTTATGTTTGATAGAGAGCAAACTAGTTCATTTAAGGATTTTAATCATGCTTGTAATTATCAAAAGATTTGGTTACTTTGGTGGTGTCTTAACAGGTTTACTTTACTTAAACAGATCGTTGAATTGAGTCAAGGACTAATTTAGTAAAATAGACGATAGGTATTTTAATACAGACTATTAGCATAAATATTAATGAAATATTGAACAATGAGTTACATTTTTTACTCGTATATCTTAATAACCGCAGTTCATTTATCCAACGCTTAATTTAAGCACTAAGCTTCTCAATGTTTTCAGACATCCGTTACTGCGAGAAGTGCTGTCACATAAAGCCTGATCGCTGTCACCACTGCTCGGTGTGTGGCGAGTGTGTGCTCAAGATGGACCATCACTGTCCTTGGGTCAACAACTGCGTCTCATTCACAAACTACAAGTTCTTCGTCTTGTTCTTGGCATATGCCTTCATTTACTGCATCTTCGTGGCAAGCACAACACTCGAGTATCTCATTCGCTTCTGGCGGGTGAGCATTTAGTGCATATGCCGAGAGTTGACATGAACCATACTTGCCTTGACGCCCATACTCCCCGTTGTACAAATTATAGTTTGTGACTGAAACAATCGTACTTTCAACAGTTTTTCTCTCAGCTGAACTAATTAGACTTGAATTATTCAGCTCGTTATCCGTCTTTAAATTTCAGAGTAAACATGTTTGGATTTTATAATTTAAATTCATGAAAAATACAGTGGGGGGAAATAAATATTCGTACACTTGAAAAATCGTATNCAGTCTGACCTGCAAGGCGCCGGCAAGTTCCACATCCTGTTCGTGTTCTTTGTGTCGATTATGTTTGCCATCAGCCTCGTGTCGCTTCTTGGCTACCACATCTTCCTCATACTCAGGAACAGGTCCACTATTGGTAAGTCATTGACAGCTTCATGTATACTCACATTTATACATGCCCGATATGTTTCCACTTCTGATCGGCGTTACTGCTGTCGAGGTCATGTTACACGCTACATATTTGTTAGTACGGCTATCTAACTAAGATCGGCATCACTGTTGAATAAAAACGCCTCTGAATTTTTCGGTTCCAATTATCTATTTTGATGACATCTACTTAGTAGGAGGTAAATATTCACTTCCTTGCCGAGGCATTTCATTTCCATATATTTTTATATCATCACTTGGCAGACACTTGCGGTCACGACGTTTCAATTATTTCTTGTCGTGCAGAATCTTTCCGCGCGCCAATATTCTACATAAACCATTCATGGTCGCAAGACAAGGAGGGCTTCAGCCTCGGTGCCTTCAACAACTTTTTAGAAATATTCGGGGATGGCAGACGGCGATGGTTCGTGCCAGTCTTCACCAGGTGAGGGACTCCACTGAGGTTTGCTCTTTAGTTTAGCTAAGCTATCGAATCAAATTGTTTTCTCTTTATCATTTTCATCTTTTTCTTCTTGTTTGGCATCGCTGGAATATGAGAGTGTTTATGCTAGAACAGGCGATGCTCTCGTAAGTTCTATTCACTCAACGTTCCGCCACTTACTTTTCGCCTTCCGATTATTCCATTCTTGAAAAGGCTTTGCCATGGCTCCACCTCGTCCTATATTTTTCAATTTTACAATTATTTCTAGTATCTTTGAAAGGTTTTGGGCATTTTTTATTTATTTTATTATTATTATTATTATTATTATGGGGGGCTAGAACGTATCGTGTTGACCAGTCGTGTGATCCATGTCATTTCTGGTAGCGCTAATGTCAGCATTAAACAGAAGTATACCTATATTTTTTCTTCTTACTTATGCCATTTGTGCATTATATTGTAAGATTATTTTGAAACGTTTGCTTCTGATATTATCAACGTAATTATTATTGTGATTAGTTTTGAAATAAGTTTATCTAGAAATATTCTTTATTTCCGCTAGCATTGGGGTTTGGTTTGTTCCATTGTAAGGTTCAGCTCGTTTCTACTTTCAGCAAATTCTCTTTGGTTCTTGCCTTTTAAATTGATCTAAATTTATAGATATCGCGGTGAGATTTTGTGCTGTTTATTCTGTTGAATTCAATGCAACAGCGCTGGATGAAGCTAGAAGCGTTCTTGAGACCTTGGGTGTATTTTTTCACTGTATTATTTACTTGTATTTTGCACTGATCTGGTAAAAGCTTAACAGCTTTGATGGTTTTTGTTTTCAAGGGAAGAGACTACCATTCAAAAAGATAGGTACATTGTAGGCAGGGAGAAACTGATGCTGAAATTGTTTGAGTTTCGTTCAATGAATTTCTTAGGTTCGTTGCTGCTTTTTCCTGCTAAATCTTCAGTGCTGTTTATTATGATCATCACAGATGACGAATCTGAATTCTTAGTTCGGTTTTCTGTGTTGCACTTATCGCTTGCACAAAGATATAGGTATCGCTGATTGCCGGATTGTTTTTTTTAGTGCTTTGCCTCATCTTGATCTTTTTTCTCCCTAGTGAGAACGCCTAGCCTACCACTTTTTTTTATCTTTTTGAAGTATTTTTCTGGAACTTTTACCTCTCGCTTGCCATATTTTAAGTCATCTCATTGCCTGACTCTTATTATCTGATGTCATTGTGACTAGAGTCAATTCTGTTCGTTTTAAGAGCTTGCTTGCTTTCTTGCCAGTTTTTGGGCAATAACTTTCAAAATAGTTTTATCTGAGAATAAAAAATCTTAGCGTTTGATGGGAAAGAAAATATATTTGCCTAATGGCAAATATATTTTGGTTTATCACATAGGAAGATTTGATATTTATCTTCGTGTACTTGGATTACTACATCTGTATCAGTGATACCGTAAAATGGGGTAACTTAGACCACTTTTTTTATAAATGATGCCATTTTTTTACTAGCTAAATTAAACTTGAATTGAAACATGCAAAATACAGGTCTATACTCTAGCTTCACTTTTTTTCTGAAACTTTCCGCCTTCAATATTTTTTTTCTAGTGTTCAACTTTCATACGTTTGTTTTAGATGAAAAGTGAAGTCATGAGAATTTGAATGAATATGTATGTAATTCTCTGATTAGGCCAGTTAATTGAATATCTGTAATTATTTAATGTAGCCGGTCAATTTTATTTATGTAAATATTTTATGTATCCCGTCAATTTGATGTATTTGATGCAGTTGGTAAATAGAATTTACTTTATTATTTCCGTTGCCGGACAATTGAACTTGTGTAACTATTTGATGTAGTCCGTCAATTCCTGTCCCTACTTTTAGGTACCTTGCTTCTTATGTTTTCCTCTGAAGCTCCACTTGTTTGTTATGTATGAATGAATGGTCTTTCCAAGATATTTACATTCAAACCCTATTTTAACTCTCATTATTTTTATTCTCGTTTCATTCATAGTTTTGTAGTTTCATTCTGAGTTTCTATCCTGATTGTTGTCATGTCGTATTCATCCCGTGTCAGCAATGTTAGGAAAAGCTGCCGGTCCGCATGATTTGTATGACAGTTCAGGTCATGTTCATTCATATTAATAAATTCTCGCCAAAACTACTCGAGAAATTAAAATTCAAATAATCTTCTTGAACTAAGAATGCAATAAACTTTTAGACTAACGTTGATCAGCATTTGGCGTTCAAGGAAGTCCTGACACAGTACTTCATTGAGCAATTTTTAGAAGTCTCCGTTTGACTTGAACAGATGTGATACAGTCAATAATTACCGGTATGTGATATTCAAATTAATGATGTAATGAAGCGCATTACGTGCTCATAACTTCACTTTGCTCAGTCCCGTTGTATTATGCGTGGCTTGGTTATCATTAGCCATAATTCAGAGAATGGAGTCATTAGTAGCTACTAAGTGAATCACTCCCCAGCTTGGGTGACGGTGTCACTTATCCGCTCAAGTTTGATCGCTCGCCTTCTTGCTATGGTGTCTCTACCTCCTCCTCACCTCCAACACAACCCTCACCACCACCACCACCACCACAACCCCTCTCCTCTTCATCATCGTCACCACCATCGTACGGCAGCACCAACTCTAACAGGTACTTAATATTCCGCATCTTATCCTTGCAGTACTTATTACCTTTTTGTTCTCTAGTTTTCCCTTGAGCTTTTCCTTTGTTCTTAGTTGTAATCATCCAATATCTCCTCGGTTATGATGTGCATCCTTCACTGTTGGTGTGCTCGTTGTGCAGTCGGATGTGGTTTTCTTATTGATGTGTGTGTGCTATCTACGCAGTGTTTGGTCTGCTTCATTTGAATTTCTCCGTTTCCTAGTTGAAGTGCCGCGTTAAACGTGATGAGTTTGGCTGAGGTTCTTACTTGTCTTTTACTATTACATCGTAACGTTGCTGCTCGTTTCTCGTTTGGATTCCTTACTATTAATGTATTGATTTGTACTGAAGTTTTTTTTAATTTTTTTTACTAATCTTTGAGAATTTTGGCTTTTTGTATATAATATTTTTCTTATAAAAATATATTTTTAATTGAAGCTACTTTGTTTCTGCTGTGCACGGCATCACTCTCTGCTGCATCACTTCATCGACCTCGCTGGCCCCCTAACTCCTGCCATCATCTTTTAATTAACTTGGGAATATTTCAATAAAGCTCACCAATTTCTCCAGTGAACCACTAAGAGGTTGCCAATGTATTCACTTAGCCGTTGGTGATATTAGAAGACTTCCAGATGAAAATAGATAATAAAGTGGAGATAAAATATTTCAGCTTTTCGGCTGCCCGGTTCTTGCCTCCGTTGGATCGATTTGAAGTAAAGTTAAGGAAATAAAAATGTTGATTGTAATATGGTTTTAACCTTCATGCATTGTATCCTTTTTCACGGTAAGCTTTGTTCTGTGATTGGTAAATTCTAACCAAGATTATTGAAGGAAACAAAAACTTGGGTTTTAAAGCTTAAAATGTTTTTTTCGAAAGCATAGGACTCTATTTTGCAAAAAAATAATATCCTCTATTTAATCTCTTTGTTCTGGTCTTCACAGAGTTCGTCTCCATCCAATTGATCTTTCATATAATAGAGTTTTGTTTGTGCATGACACAGTTTCGTCATCTGCCTCAGATGTTTGGCTGTTCTCATTGTCGCAAAATCGATGCTTTACTGAATGCTTTCCTGGGTTCCTATTTTCTGATTTGCTACTTTCCTCTTTTTTCGGCTTGCTTACGACTTTCAAACAATAAATTATCCTGTTTTTTCCTTACCATATGGCATTCTAAGCTGTAAGTCTCTTGATAAGCTCGTATTCTAATGTAGGTATCTCTTTTGATTGAAAGATGTTTGGTCTAACATTAACCACATGAGCCACAACGGCCAAAATATTGATGAAATTTTTCCTGATTTGCAGAATGTGATTTGAATATTATTGAATACAAGGTATTTACGAAATGCATTAATATTTTACGACATGTATTTACTGCTTTGGGTCATGTAATGAAGCCCCCACGTTCTAATTATTAATCTCATATTGGAATATTTTCTTGCCATACTAAGAATTCAATTCCTAGAGCCAGTATTTCTGGCCACAAGAGACTAGTAGTCGCCGTGGCTGTGGTGGGTGAAATTTCAATTATTTGTGTGTGGGCAGTTTGGGCGACGGAGTGTCCTACCCACAGCGCTGTATTGATGAGGACATGGACGGCCTGTTGGCCAGCAGCGACTACAGCAACACTGACTGGGACAACCTCGGCCACCACCACTTCCTGGCCAACAGTCAGTCTTACTCTGATATACCTACTCGCACGTTGTCATGTCATATATTAATGACTTATTGACTTGATGTTTAGCTCGGCCACCACCACTTCCTAGCCAACAGTCAGTCTTACTCTGCTATACACGCCCGTTGTCATGTCAAGAATTAAGGACATAATTGACTTTATGTTAACCTCAGCCACCACCACAACCTAACACACCTAACTCTGCTATGTAGCTAACATTAACATCTTTAAGTTTACGTTTTGTTGACAAACTTGATGATACGTAGTGTTATAAGCCTTGTGCCGATCTTGGATACTCGTTATATTTTTGTTATACGTTATAATCATCACCATTTGAAGTTAAGCATATAACATTCTGATGTATTTCAAGATTCTCTGAATTGAAGGCGTATCTTGGCTCTAAATAATGTAATCATAACGTTTCAGGGGACGGAAACCTTGAAGAGGTCATCGTGGAGAGCACACATACAAACCCCGTATAGACTACACGCATCAACTCCGTGAAGACCACGAGTATCAACCTTGTGTAGACAACTCTCTCCACTCCTGTGTAGAAGACACTCCCACTCTGTGTAAACGTCCCTGTCAAGATCTCTCCCCCGGGCGCCTCGCACGTCGCCGTCCACGCAGGACGCCTCACCACCACGCGCTAGCTGTGTTCCCAGCCCGTCTGCCCGAGCGTCCGAGGCCTCGCTCCCTCAACAACTTTGTTGCGTCGTGGAGCGCAACCTAACTTGTTGACTTCAGCTCTCTCAGGCTGATATAGCGCGTCCTCTTAACTCAGCCGGCTTCTTCTTTTGTTATATGATTAAATGTAGACATTTTATAGCAAATGATTGAGCGGATTTACACAATCGAATGCTTCAAATAATGCACCTCCTTGCGCATTCCATTAATTATTAATGTTGTGAACATCTTTCGTTCGTTTTCATCAATCAAGTAGTGTGATTCCTATTATACTATAGAAATTTCCACACATAGACACGACTTTTTGGGGATAATTTTTTTCCATCAACACCCATTGTGAAAATTAAGGTGGAAACCGTGCTTGCTGCAATATATATCCACCTGATATTCAAACGGATTAATAAGTTAATTATTCCCGTTATCTGTTGAGTTCTTTGGTTTCTCTGTCAAAATCAATTTAGATAAATGGGTGTAGTTTTGGTCCTTTGAGCATTCTCAGCATTATAATGAACTTTTCCAAAGGCGCTCCACTCGATCTCTATGAAAAGAACCCGCATCTCGGCTTAAACTGTGGAAACGTGATGACAAAATATAACTGATTTTTGCTTTCCTGAACCTTATGTGTATATATATGACGAGTAAGATTGGAATATCGTTGATCATTCAATTATTTTGAGATACGCTGGCCGAAAATACCATCATCTGCTTCTATTGTGCTTGAACAATTATTGATACGAACAATAAGTTTAGGTCGGCTGACGTAGGAATCGCTCAAATGTTGAATATAAAGCGTATCCTGCTACTGCATAATTTGGTTGATTAAAATGCCTGATGATCTGCCGCGCAGTGACGCCTTCCTACATTTTTATGTAGTTTTTGCGGGGATTTTGCTGCAAATTGATTATGAGTTTGTGTGTTCTTACTATTTCAAGTATTGCTACGTAGAAGCTAGGATTTCAGGACTGATAGTCTTCTCTTGATTACCACCACTCGCCTTCAGGGTTCAGTGTGCAACTCTTGCACTCTAAGGAAATGTGTGTTTTAAGTACTTTAATATTGAATTCATTGAGCTTTAATCTTAACTTCTATCATGCAAGTATTTTATCGTTATAACCAAATCAATTTCCGTGACGTCGTCTGTACATCTTATGAACGGACTCGCGCTTTCCTGTTCATTGATCAAGCAGACTGAATTTGTGCATTATTTTATTATTCTTTCCTTTTGAGGTAAGCAGCTCATGCGGTAAACGCCGATTGCTTGCGAGTGTGCCTTTAAATAATGCACGATTAGAGTGTCTTCTAAACTAATCTAACAGGAGGCCACGGAGTTCAATATTTAAGAATATTTCAGCTATCGTTCACCAGCCTAAGAGCTAACACTAACGTAGCGTAGTTTTTTGGTTCTCAACCTAGCATCCAAAAGTGATAGCAATATGGACGCGAGATTTTTATGAAATGCGAGTGGACTTAATCTGGCATCACTATTGGTTGTAATTGATACCTCTTAGCGCGCTATTCATTTTAAAAGTAGCAATTTGTATGTTATTTCCGTCACCATCACAACTTTAGCTCTTTTTTTTCATAAGCTGTTTCACTTACATCGATATACTGAGCCGAGCATGTGTGTAATTGTTCATCCTGGTAGTGGCGACTAGGGAGGGGCGGGTGATAGGTCAGTTTTCCCGGGCACTTGGTGCCACTGGTAGTTCTACGACTATCACTGGCTCGCTGACCAGCCAAAACCATTTTATTGCATTACACAACACCCTGGATAAGGCAGGTACTCATTTATCGACCAGAATTAGATGAATGGCCGAGTTGACCATGAGCTGAGCTACCCGGAAGAACTTGTCCTCAGTGGGACTCGAACCCGGGAGCTGGGTGCGAGAGACAGAGTCTCTCACCACTGCACCACCGCAGCTCCTGAGCCCGGCATCATATTCGTTGCATTATGTTGCATTCCTAAACCCGGTTTTCATTTGAACTTGATTTTAATATGAATTTTTTTTAGTGGTCTGGGTGGGCATGTATTTACGTAGAGGGTTTAGGTTGATTTTTAAGAACTGTAAATATTTGGTCGTGTGTTGCTTCTGATCTTAATTCATTCTTTGATTTCCTATTTGTTTTGCGTCTGGATATTCGCATAAAATTCTTATTGAACTTTCATCACTATTTCAGAAAATGCTTTGGCTTGTATTATTGGAACCAGGGTGTGATATCGCTCGCGGAAACGATCTCATAATGGTCACCTTAGTCCGTAATTTATTTTCATTCGCAACGCGATTCTTAATTTAGTATTACTGTGAGCGAGGCCGTTGTTAGGTTTCGACGAAATTTATGCGCAAATAAGATCAGGACGGAACTTCCACCCACTTCGAATCATGACTTCGAAATTTGTTCCGATGTTGTTTCAGTGGACCTCACGTGTAATTTACGAGTTTATTTAATGCTTATTTTGCAACATGTTTCATAGTGGATTGACTAATCCAAGCTTACGAATTTTACTATATTAATATGTATCATAATGAATTTGCTTCTGATGTATTTATAAAATCACTCAGGAATGAGTGATATCGCCTAGTCCAAAAGCTTTGGTGTGTTATGAATGTTGTTTTGAATTATTTGTCTACGAATAGATATCCTGGAAAAATTATAAACGGATGGCTTTGATGTTTTCTTTAAAGAGTTGTGTATTTTTATTCTGCGTCCACATACGTTTCTAAATTTAAGCCGTAGCGATGGCGCGCTATCAATAATAACTGATTGACTCGGTGATTGATCACCGTGGTCCGTCATTATATTTCTGGAGAACGAAGCAAATGCCACTGAAATCAATTTGGCTTTAGGTCGCAGAATGAAGTTGCAACCCGTGATTAACGATCATTCTTTCGCTACTCTTGCATTGACTAGGAGTTTATGTCCGAATTTAATATACGTGAAATGTACTCAATACATTCAACAACTTGATTCTTATTATCAATGCATCGTGTTTTAAATCCTTCATTAAATATGCAGCGTGAGCTGGCACTAAATGCGTCATTTCGCTTATAAATTGTGCACCATCATATGCTTCTTCAGGAATCTAGATTTGCCCTAAAAATTTTCATACCATTTGATTCGCTGCTGGAAGCAATGCTATTGTTGTTCTAAGTGACAAAGTTAACCGTATGATAAGGTCATAAGGTAAATGTGAAGGTTACAATGTCTATATAAGAATACGTACCTACTTTTAATTTTTATCGGAACAAATGTTCGTCCGACGAGTCAAGGTTTCCTAATAATCTTGATTTGATACATGGGGGAGGAGGAGGAAGTTTTCAACTTCAGACTGTCGTAAGATCTGCTTCTAGATACGTCCATTCTTTAGCTGGCCCATTTCATCACAATACGAGTCATTGCTAGAGTAATATAACTGTTGCATTGGTCACTGGCAAATTACGATGGGATAAAGAAATTCAATACTGTGTGGAAACCTTCCAATATAATTGATATTCAGGCGATTAGAGAATGTATGGATATTTATCATCTAAATATAGAAGAAATTTATACATGGCGCCTGCTTGACACCCCTGCGATTGTATTTCCAGTTGGACTCCTTTTTTGAGAATAACCGATACGTGATTCACTTTTTTTGCATGCTACCTTCACGACCATATCATCCATCATGCGAATCTGTGCTTCTTATTTTCACAATTCTATAGTAAATGAGATCATTTAGCTTCCTGTTCTGATTTATCATATTAATCAGAGTCAACTTATTAGACTACGCAAGACTGTGACAAAAAATAATTCATAATTGCACTTGAAGCCAAATAAGTGTATAACTTACCTGGCTCTTAGACTATTCGTACCCGAGACTTGTCGTCTCGGGTACGAATAACATCGACGGTTTTGTATCCGCAGAAAATGTTTCATGAACATTATACGTAGCACCTAAGTGTTGCTTACTATATAAATTTGGCCATGGACGACTTCCGAATATTCGTTTCTATATTTACATTGAATATTTCTTTTTAAGCCGTACCTCTGAGTATTCTAGACTCATATGTGGCGAACTTTGCCAGGTCTTGGTTTTCATTTTTATTATGGGTGTAAAATTGTGCTCACAGTCTGAGCAACCGCAGGGACGCTTCCCAGAGCGAGGCCGCAGCTTCATCGTTGAGGGCGACAGGCAGCAGCGCCGCCTGCCTGCAGTGGCTGTAGTATAATAAGTGTATAACTTACCTGGCTCTTAGACTTGACAAAATTCAAATGTTGCGAGTCAACCTACTTCGTACGCAAACAGGTCATCCCTTGAGCTCACTTTCTTCATACCTGTTTGTCGGTGCAAAGAAACAATCGTCCTCGATCAAAATGAGCATTTGAGGTTCGTCTGCAGTGTCAGTTTCTTAAGACAAACTTCGCTGAGCAAATAAGATTGGAATCACAGTGAAGATAACAACAGCAAGGTCCCGTAACACCCAAATGTGTCAAGATAATGACAGCACTGACACTAGGAATAGCTATATCAGTTTAACTGGTTTACCTTATAGAATCTCATGGCACATCTTACTAAACTGTGTGGCCTCTGTCAAGGAGCCACACCAAAGACCAGCTCAGTAAGTCCACAATTTAACCTTATAACGACATTAAAAACAAATCTCATAAATATTCCGACAAATTCCGGAGGATTGCGAAGATTTTTTTTAGATAATCGTCGAATCTTGGCGGTGCAATTGTCAAAAACAATAATTTTTGCTTCGCTCCTCGACGATGTATTAAAAGGTCCATTCAAACGTTACTTTACCGGGAGTCTCCCTCATTACCAGGAGTCTCTCATGACCAAGCTCTCGGGTACGAATAACATCGACGGTTTTGTATCCGCAGAAAATGTTTCATGAACATTATACGTAGCACCTAAGTGTTGCTTACTATATAAATTTGGCCATGGACGACTTCCGAATATTCGTTTCTATATTTACATTGAATATTTCTTTTTAAGCCGTACCTCTGAGTATTCTAGACGCATATGTGGCGAACTTTGCCAGGTCTTGGTTTTCATTTTTATTATGGGTGTAAAATTGTGCTCACAGTCTGAGCAACCGCAGGGACGCTTCCCAGAGCGAGGCCGCAGCTTCATCGTTGAGGGCGACAGGCAGCAGCGCCGCCTGCCTGCAGTGGCTGTAGTATGGCGGGCCGCTGCTGCTGGAGGCCGCCGCCATAACTTTGCTGCTGCACGCGCAGTGGATGCTCGTCTGGGCGCCCTGTGACAGGCAATATTCCGAGAACTAGGCACATGAACTAGATAGATCCGAGAACATCCTAGAAACATGATCCATGAACATCCTAGATCCGAGAGGCACATGAACTAGATAGTTCAGAAGTTAGTAAACACGGCACGGTGCTGTCTATGTTTTCTTTAATGATTAGGACTTGTACGCTGTTGATGACTTGAACGTAATATTACCAGATAAGAACTGAACGATCGATTGAACCAAAGATGACCGCGGAAAATAAAAAAATGTGTCATGCTGATATTGGATAATTCGTAACTATTATTATGTAACGATTTTCGATCACAGAAGGGATACGAGGGATTAAACAATTATAAGGAACCATGGAATTTTTAAGGGGATAAAAACACTAGAAACAAAACATCCAAGCAAGCTTTAACCTTCAAGTAAATAACATGGAGGTTGGCATAAATTTACTCACTAAAGCCCCACAGCTTCTCAATCTAATTGAAGAGATCGGCAGTCCGCCGTCGGACTCAACAGCAAACGAAAGCTCTAGAGAGCAATTGGGATTATTTCTAGAAGTACAATAACAGTCTACGTATCAGTCTAAAAATTACGAATTTAATACACAAGATTTCTTCTTTGTGTTATCGTTCTCTACGAGTATATTAGATATTTAGTTCACAAGGTAAACAATATGACCAGGAGGAGTAAGCTGCTGTGATGCCTGTCGTCTAGAGATTCGGATCAATTAAAATCTTTACAAATGCAATAAATATAGCGCTTTAAGCTACATTTAGTTTATGCAAAGTTATTGTTTAACAGAATTAAAGTATCAAAACATCTAATTCAGAGTATGGCTAGTGTTTTCACGGTAGGAACACAAATACTCTTAATCGTTTATAAATTGTGTTTTGTAGCGCTGGTTATCAAAGATAAAATTTTGCAGTTGATGGAGTCGACCGCAGCTCACCTGCGCGGTGGTCTTCATGAAGAAATACGCGACGGGCAGGAAGGCAAACCTCTTGATCCAGGAGTATTGCCGCAGCGCGTGTCGGAACAGCCCCGTGTAAACGAAGCCTGGCGAGAGCGCACACACCAGCACGCCCCGACCTGCGGGAAAAAATAAGAAAGTCATCTACCTGAAACTAGGGCGTCCAAGTTTCTAGAAGTGCACAGGTATTAGGGAAACGTTGGGGAGCCTGTACCTACAATGATTTTAGATATGATTAAAAAATACTCTAAAGTGCACAGGTATTACGGAAACGTTGGAGAGCGTAGACCTACAATGATTTCAGATATGATTAAAGAATACTCTAAAGTGCACAGGTATTAGGGAAACGTTGGAGAGCGTGGACAGACAATGATTTTAGATATGATTAAAGAATACTCTTTTAAGTGCACAGGTATTAGGGAAACGTTGGAGAGTGTGGACCTACAATGATTTTAGATACCTTATGATTAAAGAATACTCTTCTAAGTGCACAGGTATTAGAGAAATTTTGGAGAGTGTGGACCTACAATGAATTTAGATATGATTAAAGAATACTCTTCTATATAGATCACTAAAAATAAGCAGTACGAGTCAAAGTTCGCAGATAATTAAACCTGGATATTGCAATCATGGTTCAGAAACTCGAGGTGTGAAGCATGGATAAAGGATAATAATCGAATTCTGGACGATGACATTTGTTTTACACATGGAACTTCGTTTAAATATTCGTTGAGTTCAACGAGGAAGACAGACCTGACAGGTTTTTGTGAAGCTGCCTGGCATGCAGCAGATTGGCTAGCTTGGAGTTGTTGTAGAGCGGCTGACGGGAGGATGAGCGGCCGTCTCTTGCGCTCTTGAACAAATCGTCCACATCCAGGTGGCCAGATTTATACAGCTCTGATGACACCACCACAATCCTGGTACATTCACCAACTGTACGCCACCATTAGTGCGATAAACAAAAATAGGATGTGACGAAAGAGAGAGAAAAATTAAGAGGATCCAGCTCCAAAATAATCGGAAAATACTTGAGAATAACAAAATTTAAATAGTATGATTTCATTAAATTTGAAGAGTTGGGTAGGATATTGTTTTAATTATAAAAATTGATGAAAATTAACACACGAAAAACGAAGGGCTGAGTAGTCTGCTTTCTATAGCGCGCTCAGTACTTACACTACTAAAAGTTCAAAAATATACAGTAGCTTTGTTCAAAAGTCATAAGTAATTTGCACAGTTATACGGAACGAAGTGATAAGATGACGTTGCCTTGGCAAATCAACTATGAACTCACACGTGCTGACGTCGTTCAGGAAGCAACCCGCGGCAGCGCTCACCGGGACTGGGGCGTGGCGACGAGGACGTCCGTCAGGAGATGAGTTAGGAGGAAATGGCCCAAGTGGTTCACCGCAAAATGGATCTCCAAGCCCTTGGGTATATCACCGGCCAATTAATGTCTACCAACCAAGGTAAATACCTACTCTTTCGTCGATAAGAAATGTTATTTGTGAAAGAATTACCGTACAGAGAAAACTATTAGAAGTTAACCACAATTTACCCTTTTAAATAAAGGTTTAATTTTGACATAGGAAGCAGGTAGCATTGTTCACTAGGTAGTATGATTGCTATGGATACTACAAATTATTTTTTAAAAGTTCAATTAATATAAATAATAAAAATGTTCAAGAAACACTTTGAAGAATCGTTTTTTGTCACAAGTACAGTCGAATGACGGTCATGAATGGCGTCCATGAAGTACCTCCGTGGTGGTCACAGGAGGGTCCTGAGGCGGGTAGTAGACGCCAGCGTTGTTGATAAGCACGTCAACGCGCTTGAACTTCGTCAACAGGCGGGACACGAACACGCGGATGCTGTCCACACTAGACAAGTCCAGCTCCAGAAACACCTCAACGAAAAAAAGGGAAATAACTACCTATTTTACCGCGATCCAGAAACACCTCGCCAAAAAAAGCAAGAAAATAATTATTTTACCGCGAGTTAATAAAATATAATAAAACGCGGTAGCTCGCTTTGATAATTTTCAAAATTCAATACTGGGTTATACTGCATGTTACTGACCAGGTCTCCGGTGCTGACCGTCTTCCTAATGTCAGCGATGGCCTCCTGAGCCTTGCGTGCGTCTCTGCAGCCCATAACAACGATCGCGCCCCGGGCCGCAAGCCCACGAGCCGTCTCCTTGCCAATGCCGCTGTTGCCGCCCGTCACTACCACCACCTAAAACCCAACCATCGCAACATTTCAATAATCGTTTTTTGTTTAAATGAAACACTCAAATATAGAGATGCTTTAATAGCTCCACGCAAAAAGATCACAATATTCACTTAAAACTAAACACAAGTAAATTTCAGCAAAACATATTTAGCCGATAAATCAGTTATCTTGCAGAACAAGTTCATAGTTATTTTTTAGTTCAAAAAAAAAACAAGTTTACTGAACACAAATACATAAGATAAAAAACACTTCTTGCAGGTTAAAATTCAGCTTGATTTATTGCATCAATAACTTTTGACAAGCAACAAAAATTCTCACCTTGCCAGTCATATCTGTAGAGCAGGTACACCAACCCCAAGTCCTTTCCCTCCACTTGCGGAACACTACAAGCCCCACAGCCAACCCAACACTGATTGTTATCATGCCCATGACTGTAACACCAAGAATTCGCAAGCCTGGAGAGTCAAGAGGAGTATAATTACTTCCCTTCAAATAGTAAAAGTCCATTACAGCTAATGTTGAAGTACTGGACCCATTCTGGTCCACCTAGAAAGACCAAGGACGAGTGAATCTCAATTGTTCAAGGTGCATGACATTTTCTGAAAAACACTTGGTGGGAGAACACATGAGTATTACATTTTCATCATTTGAAGTTCAGCACACTGTCTACATCAAATAATCATTTAAAGGATTATTGTATGGTAGCCTACAGAAATAAGGTTAATTCCTCAACTTTCTGTTTGTGTCTTGTGGTTTTAGACGCAGCAAGATGAAAATACTTAAACACTATATGGGACCAAGATCATTTGTTCAGACAATCAATAGTAAGTACCGGTAGTTAGTTCATGTGGCTGAACATCTCACTGCTGGATCAGTGCAGGGGACAAGTCTGCTGCACCTAATATTTCCAGCGAGTACTTCTTTAGTCAATATTAGATAACAAATGTGGAAGCACAACATGGTTCCATGTAGTACATTCAAGAACATATCAGGAGGTTAGCAAATTAAGATATGATTTATCATACCTTTTAGAAGCACTACTTTCAAGTCAACTAAGTGCCAGTTCCTAAGCTTGGTTATAGAAAGGAGTTGTTCTTATTCCATTTTTTTCAGAGAGTTTGAATTCTACTGAAATAATATTGGGCCTTTTGTTAATGCGGACATCATGGATTGAGAAATCCTGGATTATTTTTTGTAGTTCTCTTTCTACTGAGATGACGTCCAAGGAGATTTTCTAGTGTCAGAAGACAGTTATGTTGTTGTTTCCAGGTTGTTTTTGTTTATGTATTGTTCTTTTCTTCTCAAAAAGAACAGGTTGTTTTCCAGATGACTTATCAGTTGCATTTTTTGGAAATGATTTATATTGTGTTCTTTTGGCAGATAATCTAGGAGCTTTGTGGACATTAGCACTAGCAGGAGAAGCTTTAATTTGGTCTGATTAAGCTGTCTGATTCTTGTCCAGATTCTGTACCAATCTGCCATTTGTGCCTCGTAGGATTAATGGACCATTCTCATCCGTGCTTGACCCAGTTGTTCTGTTGTTTTCTAGGGCCTTAGGCTTGGGTTGATGCAGGGCTGGAAAAGTGCTATTTTTTCTGAAATATCACAGCTAATATCATATAATTTCAGTAGGTACGAAATCTTGTGGCTCTAATGTAATGTATTTTTGTTTGATTGAAAAAATTGTGGTTTGCACTCCACAAACATGTAGTTTAATAAAATTTTCAACTTCTGCAATCTGCAATACTTTGACAATCCCACCAAAATATCCTGCACAACATAATAACAACCAGTCAATCTAAAAGGTTTCCTTAATGATTGTGTAGTTGCAGTCATGTCAGAGCTGTCAGACAGCATTTTCACGTGATCAGTTGCCACTTAAGTGAAGACAAATGTTAGTATTGACTGTTCTCAGGGTTAAATTAGAGATAAGGGGTAACAGGTGCATAGGACTTGGTAAAAAGTTTGTGGCTGCCCACTCATAAATGGCTTTTGATGGCCAAGGTATGGAATTCACAGCTCAAAGAAATTAAATCATGGCTTGAAGAAATGGAATCGCAGCTGGCATATCCATAAAACCACGGCTTGAAAAATTCAGTTGCGTCTTGCCAAGTAGATATATTTCATGCCTGGGTTGATGGCCACTTGGCCAGTGATATCTTCATCTGAAGATGCTTGGAGTCCAAGTTGCAGGAGGAGGCCAGCAGGATCTTGTGTTTGCAGCAGACTCTGACTCTGCTCTGCCATTATTACCTTCAATCACAAGTAGCAACTTACAAAGTAATACAGAAAACAAAACACAGCTATGCTTATATAAATAATAAATATAATAGACCCAATAGTTACAGAAATATATATATATAATTTTTTCCAAATGGTGATACAGAGATGAAATATAGGCTAATGTGAAATATGAATATAACAAGTTTACACAGCAAAAATAAAGTCAAACCAGTTCTAATATTGATGGCAAATACTATAGTTATATTCAAATTTCAAACCTCAAAAGTCAAAACTATGCAAGTTGCAGGAATCCCAACTGATTGGGCTTGGGATACAATACAAACATACAGTACACATACACTTGATGGCTGATGCAGTATTACAGTTCATAACTTCATAGTTCATACTTCTATTACTTCATAGTGATAGTGTAAATAGTGTTACTGTATTATTCAAAGGGGTAATAAATGACAACATTAGGCATTAATGAATAGCAAGTTATTTATTATTTAATGATGTGGATTGTGGCCAGGGTTTCAACTTTTCAAGAAAAAAAAATATCCTTAGGCCTAATAGATAATATGAAAATGATAATAGTGAACTAAGATGATGGAATTTTAACTACTGCACCTTAATTTAAACCTTGCTTGGGCAGCTTGGCCGCTGGCCCACAAACGGCAAACCTACTCTTACGGTCCTACCTATAGTGGTGCTAAAGCCTACCTAACCTACTGCCTCTTCTCAATTCTCATAGTGAGAACTGAGAAGAGGAGGAGGGGGTAGGAGCAAGAAAGCCAGCCGGCCGCCGGGCTCTTGATGGAATCCTTGCTAAATAAATATACTCGACTAACTCGAGGTATATATAGAAGTATAGTGCAAGATCAAGTTAAACGTGATTGATAAGTGATTATTTGACGATTAATTTCATGCATTCAAGGGCGATAGGCACTAGAGACATTCACTCGAATGATTTGATGAACACAGCTGACTCTCTCAGACTGAGAGACTCTCACAAGCAAATACCTAGCAACAACTACTTACAACAGGTTGCCTGCCAAAGACAAAGACCACCACTGGCCCACTGCCCTTGCCCTGGATGTAATGGACCATCATTCATGATTCCTGCCTTCCAGAACGTAGCCTTCAACACTTCAAGCCGTCAGTATCTAGGCCGTGGCCCGTGGGCCACTGTGCAGAGAGTGGATGAATATTGCAAGATCTTTGGCGACACTTCAGTAGCCAAATTTTTGCCTTCAGAAGATCTTGCCGACACATTTAGATTGAAATTCTTGCGTTTAATATATTTCTCAGTGTTCAGGCTAACTATTTAGAAAAAAAGTAAGGTTTCCGGTACGTTGGATGGATTACGATGCAGCGAAGCTTGTCCGGAAATCAGTTGCGATGAGTTCCCGCAAAAAATGTAAACATCGTTTTTTCGATTGCGTAGTTTCGGTCACATTAGAGCGGTCAGACTGCTTTATTACATGTTCAGTTGACACTTGCTGTACAATCAGACTGTTTTTAGAGAAAAATTAGTTATTTGGGGTAACACGTGCATGCAACCTTGTAACTAAGTTCGTGGCTTGTAAATAGTTTGTCATTACTCAGCCTAAATGGCTTTTCATTAAAAATTACCCGGCGACGCATCTTTAAAATGGCCGGCGACGCTTTGGGCTTAAAAATCCATATATTGGCGATGCTGCATCCACCCTCTGCATAGTGGGCCCACTGGGCCGTGGGTACTGGGTAGAACCACTGAACAAGCCCTTGGGCCTTGGTCAAACCACTTGAACGGCCACTTGTCGAAGGACGATAAATTTTGGAACAAAACTATGCTATCTGAAACCTAACCTCAGATGCGGATGCGGTGAATGTAAAATTACGTAATTTAACGATGCCCGGAGGTCAGATTCGATCTGCGGCCTGGTGGTGCACGGCAGTTTCTAGGCAAGGCCATGGCCAGAGAAAGACAAAGCCGAGTGGTTTACGGCTGATTGGTGCCTGGTGGATGTCCGGAGAGATCCAAGGCGTTCGATTCATCATTCAGGGCTTAATCCCCTCAGGCTTATTGGTGCACAAAATTCTTGGTGCACGGCTGCGCTCCCGCAACAACAACCCCGAGCATGTTACGGTACTGGGAGTGGAAGTGCTCAAGTGCAGCCGTGGGTAACAAAATTGACTCGTAAACAGGCCCTGGGCGCTGGGCCCAACGCCAACCATCGGCATCAGCATGCAATATCTACACATACTGACATAGCCTCAGATCAATGAGCTGTGGCCTGTGGGTAACTCCGGTTAACAGTAAATCCGCTTTGCACAACATGACAACATAGCCACTGCTTCATAGAGCCGGAGCGCAACAGAACCTACCGCAACAGGCGGCGCAGGTTAGGTTACGTTAGGAGTAGCTGTTGCGGTAGGCGCCTAGGCGGGGAGGGCCTGTTGCGCTCCGGCCTGTATCGTGGCTGTATGCGCTCCGGCCTGTGACTGAACGGCGCTGTTGTGATGGGCGCTTTGTGTCAAAAGCCGTGAAGATGCCCGGCTGCGTTACGCTCGGGAAGGTATATGAAACGCCTGTGGACTTGGGCTATGCTGACCTCTAGCTATCCTCCTAGAGTACTGACTAAAAGCTAAAACCCTGACGGCCTGACCTAGACCGAGTTATTAAAACCCGGACCGAGTGACTGGAGCCCGGACCCGAACCCATGGTTGAACTAACCATGCCCATACAGCTGGTCTCTCGGACCAGGTACACATTTGAAACGTCGCCTTATCACACCATTCGTAACCAAAGTCCTGCTTCGCTGCTTCATCACCACTTTCCAACACCACATTTACCGTCAACACTTACCGATCGAAATGTACCGAGCTCAACCATGCACGAACTTTTTAGTGGACTCAAACGCAACTTTGCGCAACCGATCAGCTCAAGTCATAAGTACTCAGTTCTGAATAAAACTACGTGAAAATCAGAATATGACCAATTAATAATGATAAGCCACGATATAATAATTAAAAATTTCACATTATTTCTTTTTGACTAAAACGAAAATACAATTTTTGCGCAACCGAACAGCTCCTAAATCCCTCAATTCCAAACAGAACGTGATTGAGGGTTTTGTTTTATTCGAAAACGAGATGTCGCGAAAACTTGTACTAATTCCATTCGTGGTGCTTTGCTAATAATTAGTTTCATTAATAATTTCAGGCAGATCCACTCAAAATTGAGGGACTTACGAGCAGATCGTTAACGCAAAAGTTGCGTGTTGCGTTTGAGATGGTGACAAGTTCGCGGGTGATTGCAGCAGTGTTGCCAGGTTTTTTATTGGCGAGTTTCTTTTTAAAACCAGATTGACTAGCTCAAAATACCAGAAATACTATTTTTCAAAAACAGACTAATACCTAGAGATGGG